AAAAAAAAAAAGAACAAGCAATAAAACAAAAATAAACAAATGGGACTACACCAAACTTTAAAACTTCTGCACACATTTTAAACCAACTTTTAAAAAATAGGAATCAGATTAGGTAGAGAGGAGCTCTTGAAACATGGGCTATGGATATGGGATGCATAGATGTCACACTGTGTGTGTGAATATGAAAATGAGAAAATACCACCTGCATTTTCTCTCACCTGAGCTGAGAAATGATGAGCCCATTTGCTTGGAATGTTAACCACAAAGCACAACCATGGTAAGTAAGGGGATAGGAAAAGACAGTGGAATGAGAGGGACAGTAGCACCAATGGCAGAGGTTGTAACTGTACTACCAATGAAGGTCACTGACCTTTCCACAGAACACAATTTACAAACATTGTTTTTTCTTCTTCTACATCAGAATCATCTAATTTAATTGTACATCACCTTAGTAAATAGGTTCAGATTTGCCTTGAGGCTATTAAAATAAAAATAAAAGTAGTATGATATCACTTGTTCAGAAAAAGAAGAATTTTACATTTATCTTTCTTCTTCCCTCTTTTCTACTAAGAGGGTCAATTGATCACAAGCCTATGGGTTCTTTATTCAGACAGCTTTCAAATACCTCCTGTCTTATTGACTTTTCTATTTTTATATCTTATTTCAAACTTTTATAGTACTTACTAATTATATACTCTGAGTTAATTTCCCTTGGTCCATATTCACCCCTTCCTACCTCCACAGAGTGTTTCTGTTCTGGCAGTATCTTCTGATGTTGAAATATGGTCTCCAAGCCCAAGTTTTCTTCCTTTTCCTGCCTGAATGCCTAGGCCTCCTCACCACAAAGAAATTACACACAGGTCTCATGTAGTCCTTCCTGAAGAAGGAAGAATTATCTCCCTTCAAACAGAGCCCACTCTCCTTGTGATATTCATCAGCTCCAACAGCACAAAGTAAACCAATAGATCTGAAACAAAGTAGTAGCTCTTGGCCTATATATCTTGCTTAGATATGAAGATGCAACTGGACAGCAAGCACATAATATTCTGCAGAGATTCCAAGGACATGTGGCTGGAATTGTGAGAGGCATGGCTTGAGGACAGCAGGAATCCTGAGAACTAGCACCCACCCAGGATTGACATGTCTCATTCATTCACCAGAGGGCACTGTCTTCCAGGCTTTGGCTTAGCTTTCTCCTGTTTCTCTTACCCTTCAACCCACAGGAGTTCCTATGCTCTCATTTGAGTAAAAAAACAACAGCATCTTGTCTCTCTCCAAGTGGAGGCCAGACTAAGTTTGAAGAACTTGCACAGCCTCCAGAAAGGGGAATATTTGCATGAGATCCCCCACCCTGAAGATCAGAGAGACAGATAAGAAGGTTAAGAGGGCTCTGAATTGTCTATGTGGCTCAAGAAGCAGAGCTTGAAGCTGTCTTCACCATGGCTTGGTCTCCACTTTTCTTAATCCTGCTTGTTCACTGCACAGGTGAATGAATGAAGAGGATTCTGGGAGGGTGCTGAATGTTACCAGGAAGGATGGCAATTTCTTCTTTCTCCCTTAAAATGGGGGCTGTTCTATCCTCACCCATCTCTGTCTCATTCCTTCCTTGCAGGTTCTTTGGCTGAGGTTGTGTTCACTCAGCCCCAACATGTGTCAGGGTCTCTAGGGCAGAAGGTCACCATTTCCTGCACCCGTAGTAGTGGAGACATTGGGAATAACTATGTGTACTGGTACCAGCAGCACCTGGGAAGTCCCCCCAGTCTCCTGATTTAYAAGTATGATCAAAGACCCTCTGGGATTCCAGACCGGTTTTCTGGCTCTAAAGACAGCTCCTCCAATTCTGCCTCCCTGACCATCACTGGACTGCAGCCTGAGGATGAGGCTGACTACCACTGTCTGTCTGGTTATGACAGCTATTACTCACAGTGATTCAGATATATGGGGAACTGAGACAAAAACTCCCCAGAGGATCTCCATCCTGGGCCAGTCTTCAACCTAGGGTCTGTCTTGTGTTTGAATGCTAGAATAGGAATTTTTGGTCCAACAGTCCCTGTATGTTTTTTTTTTTTTTCAAAATACAAATTTCTCCTCCTATGTCTTGAGGGATGACCACCTAATCCCTCTGCAATCACTTCATAGAAAATTTTTACATAAAATACTCAGAAATATTGAGAACAAGGAGTGAGTCATTCCTTGCTATGGGAGCTGTTTTGTGCATTGTAAGACATTGAGAATCATCCTTGATTTCCATGTATAACATGTCAGAGCAAACTAGTTCTCAAGTTGTGACCAAAGATCTCTCCAGACATTTCAAATTATTGCATGGTGAATGAAATCACCCCAATTTTACAATCTATTGGGTAAAAGAGATTGTTCCTAGCTTCAGGAATTTGTTGGTTTTGAATCCTATTTATGCCATTTGGTTTGGTGTAAAGCTGTAAAGCTAGATACTTTATCTATCTGTGCTTCTGATTGTTAATTTGACATAAAAAACAGTTTCCATAACTCAAGAACTTGTTTTAACAGATGAATAATATTTCACACATCATAAGTTCAGAGAACCTGTTACCCAATTTTGTCAAATCTACCCTCAGATAATCAGAGTGTGAATCACAGTTTTTTTTGCTTAAGTATACAATTAGTTTTTTAATCATTAAGTTAATTAAAATTAGCTCATCTATCCTCATTTTTTTGCTGAAGAAATTTATCAAGCATGGGATATAGAGATGGAGAAAAATAACAAGGTCCTATACTCTTGAAGTTTGCCTTTTAAGATGATTATAAGAGAACAGATAGGAACAACATCAAAACTGAGTGGATTTTATGATCTTTTACCAGTGAATCTGGGTTCAGATTTTGACTCTGCCTCTGTTGGCATATTCTTTACTGTCACTAGGCAATGGAGTTTCTACTAAGGACAAGTGGTTATTTGTATGTAAGTTATTTTTATGCCAGTTAAATAAAATTTAAAATTCTGTCTCTTTGACTCTGCCTCTGTTGGCATATTCTTTACTGTCACTAGGCAATGGAGTTTCTACTAAGGACAAGTGGTTATTTGTATGTAAGTTATTTTTATGCCAGTTAAATAAAATTTAAAATTCTGTCTCTTTCACTCACATTAGTTGAATTTCAACTGCCTCATGGCTATGTGTGACTAATAGAAATTATGTTGACAGAGAAAATATAGAATATTTCTGCCACAACAGAAAATTCTAGTGGACTATCCCAATTACACAGTTCACTTAATTTTTACGTAACTCTGCTCTCTCACCTGTGAAATGAGAACATTTAAAACTATAAAAACAACCCCAGAAGATGGCGGCAGGAAGGGAGTGAGCACCCCTGTGACCTGTGCTGCTGCACCAGCAGGGTGTGAGTTCAGAATGGCCGGATGCTGTATTGTCAGGAATATTCAGCAAAGTTGGTCTACATGGAACCTGAGGCAAGAGTTTGAGCATCTGAGGGCGTGGACATGGCTCAGAGGCGAGGGAACATGAGCTTCCCTGTGCACAGAGGTACCGGGAAGCTGAACAGTAACCCGCCACAGCTGGAGGTTGGGACTTAGTGAAGAAATGGCCAAGGTCTACCCTCCTTACCAGACCCCTGGTGCAGAAACAGGCAGCCACCATATTGGAGAACTGACATCACCAGCATTTGGCAGATCGGGTTGCATGGCAGCAAGTTTGGCGACAGATCAGGTGTGTGACCCCCAGCCCCCCCCTCCACACAGCTGGGATAACTCAAAGAATCTCTTCCCAGCTCTCCATGGGTGTGAATATCAGAGCCAAGGGAAACTGAAAAGGCACCTGACCTCCAAMTCCCTCTGCCCCCAGGGGCGAAAACTGAAACCTTTCTTGCCAGCTCTCAGGGGGCATGGCCATCAGGAAATCAGACAGAACAGGTTGCTGGTTTCCAACTCCCGCTCTCCACAGCCATGATGACTGGGTGAATAACAAACAAAGAGAGAGCCCAGTTGTTCAAGAGAGCAGGACATCCAGGAAACTGCATGCCCAGAGTGAAGCTAGAACTCTGGAGAAGTGCCCCAATCAGTGGGGCCTGGCGGGCAGGAGAAGCAAGGGGGCTAGAGACTGGGAGCAACCGGGATTAGAGAGACACCCGGCAGGGGAGGGAGAGCCGCCTCGCATGGATTGCTTCCTACAACCTGAGGGCAGAGATGTAGCCTGGAAAGCACAACTCCACCTACTGAAAGAGAAGAAAATAGAACTCTAAGAGTGCATTTTTGTTGTTGTTGTTTTTTCTTTTCTTTCTTTCCCAAGCATTACTACTTCTACTACGGGTAATTTACTAAATGCAAATAGATGAATGTTTCAGGGCTTTCTATAGTGCTCCTAAGTACTTAGATACCCCCAAATACTCCTGTCTATTCTCCTGTTAATATCCCCTTCATTAGAGCTATCCTCCAAAGTAGCTAAGATACACTAACCCCCATATCATCACATCTTTCTACATAAACATAAAGTCCTAAGACCAACCTCAGTTCTCTATATGCCATCAGAATCCGTATGCCTTTTAGGAAACTACTGAATTTACTTTAAATTACAATTAAACCCAACTTCTCTAGAAATTGTATCCCATTACAAAGGAGAGATCTCGGAGCTATACAAAACCAAAACAAATTTATAGGAGAAGATAATAACGCAGCAGTCACACAGAGCTGGATAGAAATGTGAGCATCATAAAAAAAACAAGGAAGAAAAGGAACACAAACAGTACAAAATAGCTCAACATTACAGAAGATGCTAGACAGAGCAGAGAGATTGTCAGATAAAGATTTCAAAATATACTTGCTTCAGCTGGTATGGAGTCTTAAAGAAGACCTTAGACAGCAAAGGCAAACAATGAAAGATTACTTGAACAATGAATTACATGAACAAATTCAAGAAGCAAAAGAACAACTCTACAGGGAGATAGAGGTTATACAAAAAAAAAATCAAACAGAAATCCTGGAAATGAAGGAAATTATAAACCAAACTAAAATCTCAAATGAGAGTATCACCAGTAGAGTAGACCAAGTAGAAGTCACAACATTAGACAATGAAGACAAAATATATCAAAAAGAGTACAGTCAACTCAGAAAGGCTGGTAAGAAACCATGAGCAAAACATCCAAGAGATATGGGATATCATAAAAACAAACAAACAAACTTAAGAGTCATTGGGTTTGAGGAAGGTATAGAGGTCCAAACCAAAGGAATGAGCAATTGTTAAATGAAATAATTTTAGAAAACTTTCCAGACATGAAGAATGAAATGMAAATCCAAATCCTAGAAGCCTACAGGACGCCAAATGTACAGAACCACAAGAGACCCACACCAAGACACATAATGAAGATATACAACATATCTTCAATATTCAATATTCAATATTCAAGGAGAGAATATTAAAAGCTACAAGAGAAAGAAGACATATTACATTTAGGGGTAAACCAATTAGGTTAATGGCTGATTTTTCATCACAGATGCTGAAAGCTAGAAGATCCTGGAACAATGTATTTCAAAAGCTGAAAGATAATGGGTGCCATCCAAGAATATTATATCCAGCAAAATTAAGCTTCAGATTTGACAACAAAAATAAAAAACCTTTCACAATAAACAAAAGTTAAAAGAATTCGCAGCCAGAAAACCAGCACTGCAAAGCATTTTGGGCAAAACACTACACGAAGAGGAAATGAAAAATAAAAATGACAATCAACAGTGGGAGGTAGCTCAGTAAAGGAAAAAACTAATCAAAGAGGAAAAACAAATCAAGTTAAATAACAAAAATAAACAAACATGACTGGATAAATAAACAAACCATATATCAATAGTAACCCTAAATGTTAATGGTTTAAACTCACCAATTAAGTGACATAGGCTAGTAACCTGGATTAAAAAAACAGATCCAACAATATGCTGCATACAGGAGACTTATCTTATAGGAGAATACAAACACAGGCTAAAAGTGAATGGTTGGGAAAAATCATACCACTCACATGGACCTCAGAAGCAAGCAGGGGTGGCCAAACTCATATCAAATGATATTAACTTCAGGCCAAAGTTAATCAAAAGGGATACAGAAGGACACTATATACTGTTAAAGAGAACCATTCACCAACAAGACATAACAATCATCAATATATATGCCCCAAACAATGGTGCAGCTATATTCATAAAACAAACTCTCCTCAAGTTCAAAAGACAAATAGACTACAACACAATAATTATGTGTGACTTTAACACACCTCTCTCACCATTGGACAGATCTTCCAAACAAAAGTTGAATAAAGAAACTATAGAACTCAATAACACAATTAATAACTTAGACTTAACTGACATATATACATATATGACATATATACAATCATCCATCATCAAGTGGATATACTTTTTTTTCTCAGCAGCACATGGATCCTTCTCAAAAGTAGACCATATATTATGCCATAGGGCAACTCTTAGCAAATATAAAGGAGTAGAGATAATACCATGCATCTTATCTGGTCATAATGGAATGAAACTGGAAATCAACGATAAAAGAAGAAAGAAAAATTCCTACATCATTTGGAGAATGAACAATATGCTACTGAATGAACAGTGAATTTCAGAAGACATCAAGGAGGAAATTAAAAAATTCTTAGAGATAAATGAAAACACAGACACAACATATTGGAATCTGTGGGACATTATGAAAGCCGTACTAAGAGGAAAATTCATTGCTTGGAGTTCATTCCTCCAAAAAAGAAAAAAACCAACAAATACATGAGCTCACACTTCATCTCAAAGCCCTAGAAAAAGAAGAGCAAAACAATAGCAAATGTAATAGAAGGCAAGAAATATTTAAAATCAGAACTGAAATCAATGAAATTGAAATAAAAGAAACAATTTGCAAAAATTGACAAAACTAAAAGTTGGTTCTTTGAAAACATAAATAAGA